CAAGACATACATCACTGTAGCCCCGCAGCTGCGGAATCCACTGTGAGGACTGAAATGCAGGACTATTTACAGAATCAGCCTGGGGGAGTTCCTTTCACTTTCATTTGATCCTCTGATTAATTCTGTTGAACCCAACCTACAGGAACCCGTTTGCTTGCTTGCTTGTTTGTTTCCATGGAGAGTAGCACACATGTTAATCCCTTTACTTTGAAATCACACAGGTAGAGCAGCCTGCCTGGAAATGTAATCAATGTGGTGTTCACTCAGCAAAGATTTTCCAACGTGACAAGCAAGGACACCACCGTTTTCTCACTAAAAGAGACAAGCAGATTTCTAAAGGAGACTGACGGAAGAGTACAAGGAAGATCCTCGTCGTCGATAACACGTTATTACGGCTAAATGGCTGCGTGGCTCTGGTTTCGTTAGAGGTGATATGGAGCGACATACCAATCACAGCGTCTCCGTTACCTCCCCCTCCCGCCGGTTTTGTTAGCGGCAATATGGAGCAACATACCAATCACAGCGTCTCCGTTACCTCCCCCTCCCGCTCTCTGATGTCACACAAATAACCGACATGGCGGTTTGTTTTGATCTAAGTGAGGGGAAGGGAGCTGGTCCATATAAGCAGGGAGCTTTGTCAGAAAGGGAGGAGGAGACAGGGAGAAGGTTACTTTCTAAGCAGCTGGAGTGGAACTCGATGTAGAATTTGGTCTGGGACTTGGTCTTCAGAGTGGCACAGCAGCGCAGGAATTCGATCTGCCCCTGGGACTCTGCGTACTTGGAATCTAGAAAAGGGAAGGATGCCTGGTCAGTTGCACCAGCAGGCCAAAGATGGCCCGTTTTCAGTAAGACTCTCTCAGAGCCAGGGGTCTTGTCCAAGGCATCTCTGCGACTCAGCAGAGGCCTTGCATTCTCTCCCTTTACTCACCATTCTTTGGGACAAACTGCGAGGTGACCCCAACTTCAAATGTGGCGAAGACAGGGCTGTGGTCGCTGGTCAGGATGTCGCTGGTGCAGCCTGCCAACGGGAGGAAAGGCAGTCAGGGCCAGGGGGTTCTGTTCTGGCCCCAATGGCCGTAATATAATCGGCATCCAGGAAAACCGACCCTAACGGTGATAACTGCCCTCCGTCCCAGACCCCACCTCTGCTCTGCCCTTCTGGGCCCTTGCTCCGTTCCCTCCCCGCTTCTTCCCTGCCCTTGCTCCTCCCCCTCCCTGAAGTGATGGGGCCTGGGGGCACTAGCAGGGCACTAGCTCCGCCCCGCCCTCACCATCAGCAGCGGGGCAAGTGGAGTAATGCACCTCCAGCTCTCTCTGCTCCCCCAGTCACATCACTCCACTTCCTGCGGGTGAGTGCAGGGTGGTCCTGCCCCTCCCCCAAGCAGCATGGCCGGAGGAGCTCACTGAGCTGGGGCCGTTGCCTCGCTTGCCCCGCCACTGCTGGTGGGTGGGGGAGGAGCCCCCTGCTGCGGGCACCAGACCCTCCCCCCCACTAATCCTCCCACCAGCTGGGAGGGCTGGCTGGGCCCTTGCCCCTCCTGCCCATGGCATTTGGGGGCACGCTCCCCTCGGGCCTCCCACTCGTGGTCTATGATTGTGTCACTGTTGTGACGGTCTCTTCCAATTTACAGCATTTCTAAGTCTCTTTAGCTTGGAGTCGAAGCGCCAGGCACAGTTATGTAAACCAGCGGTGTGCACTGTGGGGAGCTCGCCCCCTGGAGGTGACAAAAGGCTCTTGAGGGGGTGGGAGGAAACTGGGATCTTGCGGATACCAGCGGCTCGCCCCCTGGAGGTGACAAAAGGCCCTTGAGGGGGGTGACAGGAAACTGGGATCTTGCGGATACCAGCGGCAGAACACGAGGAGCCCAGATGCCAGTTTTTCCAAAGTGACTTCATTTCACAAAGCCACGCCTGGTTTAATTCGCCCTGTTGTCAGACCAGCCCACTTTGTCAGCTGAGATTTCTGAGCCTGCCTTCCTCTCACCTGCATGGAGAGCATATTAGCTCTATGCTCAGATGCTTGGAGCTGGGTATGACCAATCAGACCCCAGTGGGATCCCTTCATTTCTCCCCTCTTCCCTACCATGGTGAGGCTTGTTCTAGCCAAGGAAGGGTAAAGTGAGTGCTCTTGGGAGCCCATCAGCCCTGCTCTGAGCATCAGCTGAGAGAGGCAGTCGAGTGTCACGTAAGGGAATCCCCCCGTGCCTGCGCAGAGGATGCCGGAGTTGGGTCTACTGAGTGGAAGCACAACGCGCTGGCAGTAGACACAAGACTGGCCTTGATGAGTTTTTAATGACTTTTGGGAGACTCATGAAAGGTGCCGGATTGATAGCGCTGGAAAGGGAACTCTTCTGCTGTCCACAGGACAGCCGCCGCACGGGCAGCAGCGCAGGCTTCCCCACATGCTAGAAGGGGAGATTCTCAGCAGCTGCGAATCACCATCGCTCCACTAACTTCCTTGAAGCAAGGCGGATTTCCGGAGGGGAAACTCTGGAGCTCTGTGTTTTATCCACACTATGGACGCCCCTCGCCCCCCGTAGAGAATGGTGGTTCAGTCTCCAAGCCCATTCAGTGAGTCACTAGTGGGACTGCTAGCTGGGATGGTGTTTGTTCTGAGGTAGATGCCTATCAAGACATTTCACATTGCATTCTGTCTGGGTGGGCTTCTGCGCAGCAAACCGGCCCACCCAGACAGGGCCCATAACAGTCTGGCACCAAGAAGAATGGAGATCCAGCTGATCCCTGCGCTGGAAAACCTGGCTTGTTACTGCCAAGAGATTAAGGGTGTAGCGACCGAGATAAAATATAATGTGGTTTCACAAAAGGTAGAGTGCGCCGGACCAACCTGATGGCCGTCTCTGAGAAGATAATCCATTTTCCAGACAAAGGAAATGCTGTCGATCTAATCTACCTGGATTCAGTAAAGCTTCGGACACAGTTCCACATGGGACATTTTTAGTTAACTTGGAGAAGATGCGGAGTCATAGGAAAGTTCTACTCTGGTAAGGATCTGGTTAAAGGGGTGACTACACTGGGCCATGCTGAAAAATGACCTGTCAGGCTGGAGGGAGGTTGCTCGTCTTGGAGCCAATCATTTCACATTTGAATTCATGAGCATGGTAAAAGAAGTGGGAGTGTGCTAACAAAACGGGCAGGTGAGGCCGAGTGGGGAGGTGCTGCCAGGACAAAGGAAGGCCGGAATATCAAAGAAGAAAGAGACATGAAGTTGTGGAACAGCTTTCCAAGGGGAGGAGTGGGGTCAAAAAACCTAACTGGCTTCAAGACTGAGCTAGATAAATGTAGGGAGGAGAGGGGAGGGGAGGGGAGGTTGCCTATAAGGGCACGTGGCCCTTCTGTGACTGGTAGTAGCAAATATCTCCAGTGGCTGGAGGTGGGGCACCTACAGGGAGGGCTCCGAGTTGCTACAGAGAATTCTCTCTCCGGTGTCTGGCTGATGCGTCTCACCCACATGCTCAGGGTCTGATCGCCCATATCTGGGGTCAGGAAGGAATCTTCCCCCAGAGCAGATTGGCGGAGATCCTGAGGGTCTTTCACTTTCCTCTGCAGCCAGGGACACAGGTCACTAGCTGGTCTGAACTGCAGTAAATGCTGGACTCTCTGTCACCTGAAGTCTTTAAATCAAGCTCTCATAACACAACCAGAGGTGATGGGCCTGTTGCAGGAGTGGGTGAGGTTCTGTGGCCTGCAAAGCACAAGTCAGAATAGATGATCATGATAATCCATTCTGGCCTTACAGTCTATGAGCTGGATGGTGTCACAATAAGCCCTACAGCATGGCCTTTAGCTGGAGAAGAGAATCAAGCCAAGGAAGGAGAGTTTGTGCTCCAGCCCTCTGAACTGCATTCTGCATGTTCATGTAAACCAGACGTCCTCCTCCAGCCCTGCACTGTGATAACAGAGAGCGGTAAGTCCAAATTGCATGGTTCATCCTCAGGTCTCTCCTGTGCTGAGAGCCTGGTAGTGCAAAGAGATCCCCAGAAACCATTTCTGTTTCAGCCCAATTGCTTTGCTCTCTACAATCTGTTATCTACCCACCATAGGATTGACACACCACGTGCACCATGGGGTAGGATTTCCAAAGCACTCGATCACACCAGGATGGCAAATTGTATTTTATCTGCAAAGCAAAGTAGAACTGAGGTCAAGAAGAAGGAAACAGACAAGTTCTCGTTCAGAAGAGGAGAGAAGTCGCTTGCCAAAGGGCGGTGCGCATGTTTCACATTACTTTTGTCCATGATTTGGCTCCTTTCAAAGCTTTACACGTTGGAATCCTAATTTGTGCAGGAACCGAAGAGCAATTTTTAGGTCGCTTTTCTCTGTGGATGCTCTTTCCATTACACTGACACATGCTTTTGAATGAGGAGGGTTATGTTTTAGTCACCACCTACCCCAGTTGCCTTCTGTTTGGTGTAGGCATACTTCTCCCGGGTATTTCTTTCAAAGCGGTAAGTGGGAGCAAAAGTGATCTCTTCTTCCTCTGAAACAGAGAAAAAGCTGGTGATTGTTCTAGGACAGGTAAGAAACTCAGCACTCCCCCTGGCCTTCCATACTGCTCTGGCCGGGGCCACAGAAAAGCTGGGAGAAGGGTTGTGCTAAGAGTAGAAGAATTCAGCATCTTACCAAATTGCAGAAACACCTTTTGGTCCTTTTTCTCCATGAGAAGCTGGTCAAAACTCAGCAAATCGGGATACTGCTGCTGCTTGATCTTCTGGATTATGTTCTCTGCGTCCTGAAAGAAGGAAACCTCAGAGCGGCAGAAATGCACTCTAGCTTCCTACAAACACTCCCTTGCTAATGGTGAGACGATAACGCTGGGCACTTGTTTGTCCAACCCACCCACAAAGACTCCGAATGTCTACCAAAACACCCGATTCGCAGCAGCACCAGCCGTTCCTACACCATCACCAGGCCTCATGTCATTAAGGGCAACCATGGCTTGTCTGTTTCTTAAGTACCTGAATACCTGTTCTGACTAGGCCTGGACCATTACAGCACGGATTGAAGGGTGCAATGAACGAGCCCCAGAGTGTTCTCAAGGTCATGGCAGCAGGGTTGGTGCTGTTCTGGGAATGGCTGTCATTGGTGAGAACTGGGGAACGATGGTATGCCAGATGGCATTGTTAGTAGGCCAATGGCTCGTTAATCTTTGGAGAGGAGATGCAGTGGCTAATTTATTTCTGTCCTGATATCTCTCTAATGGTTTTCTTTGCAAGGGGCAGTTAGTTTGGGCCCCTTCTCCCACCCTTTCCCACCCCTCTTTCCTTTCCACGTTCCTCCAGACCAGAAGTTGACGCTTTTCACACAATTAAATGCACCATCTGCCACTTCAGGAATTCTTCTCTCAGCTTTCCTGAACCACCAGGAATCAAGAGGGGTCCCTCACCATTGGAGGCAGTTCCACGCGGTAGTTCAAGTCGCCCAGCCAGAAGAGATGAGTAAAGCGGTGAGTGATGTTAAATGGACTCAGTTTCTTATCTCCCAGGGTCAGGAAGCGCAGAATGCTCGTGTAGTTCTGGTTTCGCCTAACAAAACAAGCAAACAGTGCCTGTCGCCCTCGGTTGCCATGGGGTCCCTCACGGTTCGATGCTGACAGAGACTGCTGGAGCCAGTTAGGTGCAAAGTACAGGAATGCTCAGGTTTTTAGCCCTCATTCTTTAGAGAACCCCACACTTGTGCTTCGCATAGGCCTCGGCGGCAGCTAGGGATAGCATGGGGAGAAGTGAAGGAGGGGAAGGAGTGTTCCTGGTGTCGGCGCTCCAGGACAGCGGCATGCCAGTTGGGGTGGGGCTTGTTCTGAGGTAAATACCTCAGCAGATCCTGGAGTAGGAGACAGGCGTGAACTCTGAATCATCTGCAGCTATGGGAATGGGGATTCTTAGGCCCTGCATGGCAGCCTGATTGGGGCGTTGGAGGAGCATATTTTAGAGCAGCTCCAGACGGCTCCCTTTTGTGCTGCTGCCTGTTTCTGTCCCCTGAGAAGCCTCATGTAAAATAGGTGCAAATCCAGGGCTAACGCCACCCGTGATCCCTCTGCGGGGCTGTGTGTTTCTGTGCTGCGCCTCCCGGCACAGAACTTGTACACAAGGCAAGAAATAAAGAGCTAGCCTTGGCCAGATCTGGCAGCTGTTCCAGGCACCTGGGAATTTTACTAAATGCAAGCGAAGCCCGGGACGGCAGAGCTCCTGTACCGCTGTTCTAGTCACCCGACACCTCAAACTAGACAGGGGATGCTCCCAAGAGAGAGGCAGCATGGCCAACGCATCTCTTCATCCCAGCTGCCCTTAGCTGGCTCCTCAGGCATCTCCAACTTACTCCACGGACCAGACAGGCCCCAGTAGCCAGGGCTACAAAGCCACAGTCCCTCTGCCATCACATGGCACACTGCTTGGCCATACCACAGACCCCACCTCTCTCTGCTGATAGTGGGGAATGGGATTACCTCTCAGAGACCCATTTCTTTGCTCCACACTTGACTCTGTTGGGACATCCTCCCTGACTGCCCCGGCAATGCCCCTCAGCCTGGAAAGATTGGCCCTGAACAGATCTCCACCCAACCCTCCCAGCCGTCTCTCAGTGGACCTCGGCCCACAAAGGAGACGGTGTCTCCTGCTGGCACCAGGGAGATATTTTCATTGTGCGTGTGCAGAGAAACCTCAAAGTTTCTCTCTAGACAGTGCAAACCATCAAGCCGTTTCCAGGGGCAGCTCCTCAGGCTTTGCCAGGTGGGCCAGGCCTACACGGCTTTAGGTAAAATACACGGGCTCTCTCCACAGCTCTGAGAAGCCCTTTCTGTCTGTTTTCTCTGCCCACTTGCAGATTCCAGAAGCTTCCACTCCAGGTGAAGCCAGGGTTGCTGACCGAATGGTGATGCACGGACAGGGGTAGGCAGGAGCTTCCTGTGTGGTGAGCCAAGGCTGCGTTCACAGCGAACCTTTAAGAGATTTTAAGGCCAGAAGGGCCCCTGGTGACAATTTAGTCTGACCGCCACAGCACAAGCCAGAGAACACCCTCCAACACACCCTATCAGAAACACGGCCAGACTGGGTCAGTCCTATGGTCCAGCTAGCCGTGTATGCTGCCTCTCACAGCCCCAGTGCCTGGTGCCCCGGAGGCAATGAACAGAATGGGGCAGTTAGCGAGTGAGCCATCCCCTGGCATGCGGTCCCAGCCTCTGATAATGAGGGGGTTAGGAACCCTCGAGCATGGGGCCGCATCTCTGACTATTCTGGCTAATAGCCACCAACATGCCGATCCTCCACGAACTTCTCATCCGCTTCTGAGCCATTGATATTTTTAGCCTGATCACCATCCCTTGGCCATGAGTTCCACAGCGTGACCGGGGACAGTAGCCCCTGCCCTTGAAAGTCAATGGCGCAGTTCACCTGTGTTTCTTCTCACTTCCCGAAGTCAAGTGGCTGTTCACAAACCCGAAAGAGGTCCCGTTAAACATGAACGACACTCCCACTGCGCCTTTATTGCCTGGGGAAACAAGCAGCAGCAAAATGTCAAGAAGGCAATCCGCCCCCGGGCTGACGTGTCACATACAGAGCAGAGTTCAGGGAACGTTTTTCTGAAGGAGGCAAAATCAATATTGGTTTAACAAGCTCACTGAATTTCCACCTGAGACCTGTGAAGGGAGCCCTCCCGGGCAGCCGAAAGTCTTTAGTGGGGAATAGATGAGTCCAGGATTGATTAGATCATTAGAAGGACAGTTTTCCCTTCCCTCCTCCCCAGCTAAAACTGTGTTCATGGAGCACCCAAAGAAATCAATTAGCGGGTGCTTAGGAGACAAGTTCCCCCCATCCCACCATCCTTGCTGATCCACTCCTTCCCCTCCCTCCCAGCACCTCCCCTGACCAACTGTTCAGTGGCATGTGGGGGGCACTGGGAGGGAGGAGGAGGAGGAGGAGGAGGGACAGGAGGAGCTCAAGGGAGGGGGCAGAGGCAGAGGTGGGGGCAAGAGGTGAGGGGGAGCTTGGGGAAAGGGGTGGAATAGAGACAGGGCCTGGGGCAGAGGAGACGGGTTGATCACTCTCAGGTAGAGAGGAAGCCGTCCCCTATGCGAGGATCCATTCATGCCTCGCTGGAGAAGCCCCTGGTCTCTTCAGCGTGACCCTGAGTGACCTTGCTGAGCGAGGACTGTTCATTTCAGGTGCCCCCATGGGCACAGAACGGGTAACGCTCAGGCTCACAGATCAGATTCTGTTTCCTTACCCAGCCTGTTGGCAATTCCCGTCTTCACGTTGTCTGTGCAGATGTGGCTTATCCGGTTCTCATGTTCCGGCTTGGCCAGGACCACAATCCTGATGTTCCAGAGCGTATGGATTGCTATCTGTCAGGGGGCGGAAAAGGGAGGGCTAGATCCTGGCACAGAGATACTAGACACGCCTGGTGTGCCCACGGCTACCCCAGCCTCCCTGGACACACTGACTGTGAGATTTTCCTCTGAGCCATGGACCCATGTTTTTAGAATGTGGGGGTGGGGTGCAGGAGAACGTGTGCAATTCCTGGCACGCAAACATGCTCACGTTAATCCCTGGCCCACGCTGGTCGCACCAAAGATCATTTCATTTGTTTGCAGGCAAATTCTAAGAGCCACCTAAGGGCCCTACTAATGTTCCTTCTAATTTTTTCCATCTATGAGCAGAATGAATTTTGTTATGTGCACTGAGACATGTGCAGATGTGCACCATCCATATAAACACATGGTGCCAGCAGTGGAAGACTGTGGGCGCTCAGCTACTTAGCTGGGTGGCATTTGAATTTCTCTAGGCGGCTGCCCAGGCGCTCAGCTTACAGGGAACATTGAGCCCCATCTGCAGTGACCTTTCAGAGCTGCTTACATCCTGCTCCTCTGCCTCACTGAGGCTCAGCAGTGGCCAGACACGGGTCTCTCCATGTCAGGTCAGTCGGTGTGGTTGAGCCTGGCCTGTATGAGAGCCTGGGCTAGGAACGCTGCAGCCCACACAAAGCGAGAGTGAGGCCCGAGCGGTCTCAAAAGATACGCCTGCAACTTCAAAATAGCCCTCTGAGAAGGCTGTTCCCAGGCCATGGCCGGATTGCAGGCTGGTGTGCTACTGGGCGGGGATTAAAGTCTCACCCTTCTGGCCCCAGCCGGCAGGCCCTGAGAGCACTGGGGCCAGCTCTGCCTAGGGCATTGCTGGTAGCAGCCCATCTAGCTGGATCAAGAGGAACGGAGCCCGTAGACACAGCCAGTCCCTCTCCCTCAGCACGCTGGTCCCAGCAGTGTGGCGCTTTGGGAGCAGGGAGGCATGTGCCAGGGGCTGGTTATTCCCGTGTCTCTCCAGGCTGCTAGGGGAGGCTGCGATCCTGGCTCTGCTCGGAGCCAACATGGCTCCTCACCACTTTAAAACTGATGTTGGTGATTTCCTGCAAGGACTTTCTCAGAATCTCCAGCCATTCCTTCTCCCCTTGTGGGTCCTCCTGGGTGCCGATGATGTAAATGTCATGGGGGATGTAGTCCGCAGAGTCATCCCGGGTCTTTCCCTGCCCCTTGGAGAGAAACCAGGATGTGATCTTCTTTTGGGGAGGAGCGTCACCTTTAGCAGCAAATCCAAAACCACAGTCAGTCAGAACACGTGCAGGCACAGGCAAAACCTAGAGCTACCCCCAGCAGGGGGCGAACAGGCTCCCAGCCCCACGGAGCAGCAGAAACACAGGACCAGGGGCCAGGCTCTGCTCTGTGCATGGCAGAGGGGAAGCCCAAGATGACGGAACTGGTGCTGTCCCACCTCATTCCCGGGGGGTGTCGGCAGGGGCATCTCTGTGCGCTGCCCCTTCCTGTGT